TTGCAATAAAACTACCCAACATTTTATGTTACAGGCGCTCTGCTAGAGTTTCTTCAAAAGGCCTCCAGTTCACCAAATGAACTGAAGTTGACGATGTCTGATGCCATCAACAACAAGATTCCATCTGATGTTACACCTTGGAACCCTGAAAAAGCTAAACATAATTAACTGAGCTGGAGTTCCCAAACAGATCTTTATCCTTTAGATGGTTATGCTTACGTACAGGAAACGATTTCAATCGATGCAGTGCAAGGAAAATTTTGCTATACCGTTTCTTATTAATCTGCCTCTACAGAATAATATTTTTGTCAAGTTTTGCCTGAAATAATGGCTTAAATAGTTTCAAAGTGATGTGTATAATGAACTGGCTGTGTCAAAACAGCCTTTGAATTCATGTAACACATTACAAGCGTACCATTCTTTAGTTCCCTGAAAAATATGTAAATACTTTCCTTTCAACGGTTACCAAAAGCACATCAGATAGCTTGTACTATGTTTCTGAAATGACGTCTTTGATATATGGATTGCTACAGTAATCTCAATCTAGGATAGTAACCAATATATTTTTTGGAAGTAAGATTTTGTTTTTGTCCAGCGAGAATTGTACCTTCTTACTGACACAAGATATTTTTTTGTTGCAATCTTTAAATAAAGTTGTGTCAAGAATCGTAACTTGTGTAGTCTAGTTTCTAGTCTTAGCTACACCGTCATTGCTATGAGAAAAGGTAAACCGGATGTTTGACGGTTTAGGTAAATCACTGGTAAGCACAAATCAGGACTGATAAATTTCGTCTCGGAATCACGTTTACCATTTTCACAGATCAGTTCCACTTACCGAAAAACGACCGCGAAAGCCAGAAACTTCTTCAAAGATGGCTTTGAAGAAATGAAACATGAATTTCTATTTGGAATATTCCGTCCGGAAAAAGGGGAAAACCTTTTCAGATGTTCCGTTGCTCCCGGAAATTTTCCATTAAACGACACGAAAAGTCGTGTTTCATTAGTTACTTTCCAACTGGATTTTCCGGAAACTTTTTGTAAATGGTGAACAACCTGTTTCTGATATTTGGTGTCTGATTTGCAATGAACAGACCAGAGAAGAAACCTCAATTAAAATATCAACGGTGGGCTCGGACCCGGCTTCAGCTAAGCGGGAGGGTGGGGTGGGCGCTCTCCAGTGTCGTCACTCGACCTTTTGACCATGAATAAAGGGTAATTAAAATAGTTTTAACAGAATCAGTGGTGCTGTGTCGGTGGATGGGTGGGTGTGTGGGGTGAAGCCAAAACGAGTTGTTTACGAATCTGGGGCCCGTTTCTCGAAAGTCCCGGTAACTTTACGGGCCCGAAATCAAATATTCAAATCGATATATAAAGAATAAGACCGCGGGTCCTGGCTAGCAAACTACTCCATTTTGTTTCATTAACTGACAGTTTTATCGTGTTAGTAGACTGCAAAACAGTCCGTATTTTTGCGTATTCAAGTACGCGCGAGCAGTCAAACAAAAGGTCTGGAATGAGGCTGAAAACAGAGAGCGAGACTGGGGAGAGACTCTTACGCCACGCTTTACCGATTTCTTTACTGATTTTGAGAAAAAAAACCGACTGTTTTGCAGTCTATCGTGTTAGATGCAAAACTATTGAAACCTCGATCTTAATTGTAAACGGAGAGAGCTTACCGGGCTCGTTAATTATCGGGACTTTCGAGAAACGGGCCACAGGACTGTAGTAAATTCCGGGAAGCTACTCGCCTACCCCTCTCCCTAACACAACACTTTGCCCAATAACACATACCACTATGGAGTAGTGGAGGGATTTGCAGTTGTGTTATAACTGCCTCCTTGGGTTCGCACTCACCCAACGGCATTCTAGAAGAGAGAAGTATTGACCCTCTATTCATAAACTCTTTTTCACTATGAATACCTTTTTCTAACTTAGCGAAGTGGAAGATTTAGTCTACCATGTCTATCTCAAATTTTTATCAGTGATTACACTGAGCTCTTCCCTAATGTTGTATCATGACGGGAAAGTGCATTCTAGCCTGCTTGACGTTTGGACATTAATAAAAAATGCAGGACTTTTGAAACGCAGATTAATTATTAGCACTAATATCTATTCACTCACAATTGCTAGACTGAGCCCTGCTTTCAAGGCAAGTGACAACACCATTGCTATTGCTGTTCCTGTTATGATAGACTTTCACCTCATGTTCATAAAATGTCATAATTTCTTTTTGGAGAAAGAAAAAAATAAATAGTATTTTTGTTGTTTAGTTTTTTCGGATGTTTTACGTAGCCCGCGTTGCAGTCGTTCAAACACTGAACTCTGTACGCAATGCAGACCTATCTTTTGCGCGGGGAATGGTAACCAGAAGAGCTGGTCGCACGTAAAATCCAAAATGGCGTCGTCCTTGGTCAAACAAGAGTTGCCACCTAAAGGTGGTTACCCTGCTATAGAATACACCAGAAACCTGCCGAAAAGAGGTCCGTCTGGATTAATGATATTTGTTGGTGGTGCTGCTGTGATGGCGTTTGGTTTTTATCACGTTATCAAGGGAAATAGGCGACGCTGGTGAGTTAGTATAGGTTGCTCGATCAAATATAAGATTCCAAGGCTTGGTAAATATTAGGTGATCTTATATTGGTTTTTGCCTTTACTAGAGCTTTGTATGAGGGTCTAATTGTATTAAGTAAAGTTTTCGTTTCAGAGTTAAGCATTTTGTACTTTCTTAAGTTGAAAGTTGCGTGTTATTGAACTGTTGAATTGAAACAGTTGATATGAACGATCGTGTTACTAAATGCTAAAATGGTACTAGCTGTAGTTAGTTTGGTTGTCTAAATCAGCCAGACAACATGGTGTTTATTTCATAATTCTCACTTTTCAGTGAACTCATGACAGAAAAAATGAATGCAAGAATTGGAATACTTCCACTTCTACAAGCTGAACATGATAGAAAGTATGTATTTTTACTTGTGTATCCTGTAAAGCTCGTCAGATTGACTAAAGTGTTGCTGGACTCAACACCTTTGGAGATACCAGCCACTGGAGATCTAAATCTGGAGATTGTCTCTTTTGCAGTACTTGCTCCCCCAGTACTGCTCTTCTACTTTGTCTACCAGACACAGATGAAGTAAAAAGAAATACCTCTGTGTTTCTGTTTAGGGTTTGATCTGTTTGATGTTGTTTCATGGTCTTTCTTCTTCTTTTTTTTTTACGTCATATGTGTCCAGTACATGAGATAAATGCTCAAATCTGCCCCCTTCCCCCGAAATGGTGAACCTTACGTGACACTGGGAGATTTGAGCCATATCCCGGAGAGTTGGCATATACATGTATGTAACTTAGGACTGGTTCAGATGCCAAATTTTCCATGGGCTGAGGCTTATGCCTTAAATTATTTGGTAATCTGGAATGGCTAACAAATTCTTCCCAGTTGGCTCTGCTGCGATGATCATTTTTGAATGGCTTTGAATCAGATGCTAAACTTTTCATGCAGAGCCTAATGCATAAGTTATTTTTAAAAACATATTTGGTTCATTAAAATTAAAATATTTTTACATAGCCCTAAATTTGATTTGGGTTTGGCTCATGGAAAGTTTGGTTTCTAAACTGTCTTAGGAAAGAATGTGGTACTGTGTAATTATCACCTACCGTATATATGTAAGTAAGTAAGTTTACCCTTAATTTGAAGATTATATATCAACCGGTGAAGTAATCTTGCAAATTCATTTTGTGCATAAACATGCAGGTTGTTTTCTAGTTGTGCTGATTGATTACTTTGTAGCTTGTGAGAACAAAGCATGAATTAAAAGGATTGTGAGTTTAAAGATGTAGCTATAATGTTTTTAAATATAAAATTTTTGTTACCAGATGTTTGCGAGCACTAAAAGAAAATGAAGAACTTGAAGCACAAATTATGAAAGACGTGCCAGGGTGGAAGGTTGGAGAGAGTGTTTACCACACAGACAAGTGGGTTTCACCTATTGCTGTACAAGTTAATAAGCTTTAACCAGAGTAAAGGATCGGAGCTAGCAGATGCAGAATAAACACTGTGGATGTGCTATTGATGAGTGAGAAATTTATAGTTTTTGCATGTTGTAGACAGTTTAACCCACAACTTATAAAAAGTATTTGTGGGCTGAAGTTTTTTAAGTGTAACAGCAGATGTATGTTTGCATTTGAAGAGCGAGGAAAACAACCTAAGAAATCATGTTTTCATGCTAATTTCTCAAGCATTGTAATTTGTGTTATTAATGTCTTTGTACAATTAATTGAAGCTCTTCGTTGTAATAAAGGGAATAAAGAAAAGAATTGGCACCTGTGTGACAAACATTATTAAACAAAATAATAATCCTTTCCTTCTGAAATGGTGGGAGAAATGGAGGATGAAAATTAAATTAACTTTACTTCAAATGAAGGGTTTCAATTGCATTTTTGGTACATGTACCTCTGTACAGGGTTGAAGTATCAGTTAGTGGTTATCATGAATATTATCTGTGGGATTTTAGCCAATCAGAAATCGAGAAATATTTTGAATGAATGACAAAGCATCTTCTGGGGCAAGGGAGGAGTTTAATAGTACCCAACAAGTGTTTACAAAATAAGGATTTCTTTATTTAAAGTCTAAGAATTCTACCAGCATGCATGGTCTACTTTGCAATATATTATTGGTTTCATTTGTAATTACAGATTCAAGCTTCCTAGATAAAAGATGATAATAATGTCTAAAATGTTTGAGCAATAGAGCTAAGGAAAAGTGTTTAGTCACTGCTGTTTACGGCAATGATTATCACTCATATTCTACAATTTTTCTTTCGGTCATGTTTTCATCAGACTGGTGTCTTTGATTTAGTCTGACACAGAAAATCCATTTACTGGTATTATATTATGGTACATTATTATTACACATATTACGGTATTTACTTCAAGGGAACTTAAAACTGACAGTGACCTGTATTCACAAAACACTTAAACATATGTTGTCAAAGTTCCCAGAGGAACTGAACTACGCTGCAAGCTCCCAGCATCAATACTTCTTCTTGAGGTTTTCTTTGGTGTGTAAGTTCTTTGATGTGTCGTGCTAAACTCTCTTTCATCAGGGATTGGCGGTTTTATGTGTGACTTTTTGAGCTAAAAAAGACAACAACATCGTGTTAGAAATGCATAAATTATTATGGATAAGTTAAGTTTATTTAATAAAGCAAAAAAACAAACAAACAAACAAACGGAATTAAGGATATGTTCACACGACACTGGACAAATTTTCGACTGCTTGATAATTAGTGTGTTTAGGTGTTCTTTTCATGTGAACGACCTTAACCGTACAAAAATTTAGATGCCCAGCCATTCAAAGTTCTGTGAGAACAGAGAGAAAATTAATAGTGAAAGGTCCCTTGTGAATGAAAAGCTTCCAGTTAAATTTTTCAGCTGGTCAAAAATTTGTCCGTTGCCATGTAAATGTAATGTAGGTTACATGTTGTTTTCGATTTGGATTTCAAGAACTGGACCATATACGTACATTTTCTACTGCTAAGGGGTGTGGAATAAGTTTTGGAACACCAGCATGTGAAGGAAAATCACTCCAGCTTGTTGGCATGTTGACAGGCTGTCCACCTAATGAAATGAGAGAAATTAATCTACAGTTAAAACTGTTAATTTCCAATTCCCAGCACACGTATTCAACAACGCTGGATTTTGCTTGAGAACAAACATACCGGTATTATAATATGTTTGAAGAAATGAATAATGACAAATTTTATTCTGCCCTTGATTTACAATTTCATAGAATTTGTTACCTTTTCAAGCTTACCGGACGTTTCGTACCCACGGACGTTTTGTACCCAGACGATTCGTACCCAAAGTTGAGATGATTCGTACCCAACGCTAAGATGATTCGTACCCAAAGCTTAGATGATTCGTACCCATGTAAAAACCAAGTCTTTATTTTGTAAACAGTGTGTTTTCATAGTTTAAGTTAAGGCTTTCACTAAAACAGAACTAACCACAAGACAGGACGTACTGGTGGAGACTCTGGGACGAAACAAATGTGTTTGTTTACGTCCGAATTTGCTACATGTCTGAACGTGGACTAATCAAAGACTATATACAACTTTGTAAAGTTTATGATTCGGCAAGTTCAAACATCGACATATAAATTGGACCCAGCCGTGAAAAAAAATTGGACCCAGCCGTGAAAAGTGGGAACAAGCTAATTTTGTGTAAGTATCATGTCCTTTTCACTTGTATGTTAATGAAAGTCTCACCTCCTCTAGTATCAGCGCCGCTCACGCGTCACGAGTCTACGCAAAGAAAGTGAGCGGTGGTTATAATTTGATCTAACTCACGCGTAGGTAACGAGTCCTTCTGATTTATATAAATGTTTTTAATTTAGATTGTTTTAAGAGAGATATGATTAAAAATGTTTTATTATCAGTTGGGTACGAATCATCTCAACTTTGGGTACGAATCGTCTGGGTACGAAACGTCCGTAGGTACGAAACGTCCGGATTCCCCTTTTCAATATTCGTGTACTTACTGTAATAATCCAGTGGAATACTGCTGTGTGTAGTCATACCAGGAGCTTTATTGTAAGGAACTGATACTGCCGTGAAGTCAGACTTCATTGATGTATCATAAAACCTTGCCCCGCTAGCGGCTCCTAGGTCCACATGGGATTCAGTTCTCAGATGGGAGCCATCAACTATTTTGTTTCTAAGTCCTCTTGGAGGCTGTTTGGGATTCAGTAAATTACATTGTAGCATATCAGTATATTTGGATAAAGAGGGACGTTTTTTTCTTTTGTCAGTTTTCCGTGATCCTCTTACCTGTTGTTCTTTGACTAGTTTTTTGTTAAAATCATATTCCTAATATTCCAAAAAAGGTATAAGAAACTACTAGAATGCAACTGGCATACAGTGGTATTGTTCAGTTTCTCTCGATCTGTGTCATTATTCAGTTCCTTGCATGAAAACAACTTATCTTTTAGCCTTCTTTGTGCTAAATAATTTTATTGTGGCATTTTGTGACCATATTTCTAAAAAAATAGTTAGATTTAGATTTAATTGTCTTACATTTCCAAAGAAAATATCATTTGTAGTTCTGCTAATTCTCTCAAGGGCTCTTGCAGGATCCATGTCTCCCTCTGGAAAGCTGCTTTTTCCCATATCTAGGTTGGCACTTATATCCTTATCTAAATCAAACACAAGTGGAGAATTGTTGTCAGCTACAAAGATTTCATAAATGGTAAGCAATTCACTCTGATTGGAGGAGGGCACACACTGAAACAGCCAGCTTTTGGATTACAATATTGGACAGGTTACTGAGACAACACAAGTAACAAAACCCTTTTTAAAATATTAAAATACCTGTCATAAAGCGTGATGGATAAGACTCAGCTGCAGTGGTCTGAAGATATCCAGGAACCCGTCTGTCACCAAGTTGGAAGGTGGTTCGCCGTAGTCTGTTGACAGCTTCTTCTCGGTCAAAAGCTGTAAAATCTTTAAAGCCAGGTTTGCGGAATGAATCCTGTTGTGTTGATGTGGAATAGTTGCATTTTTCCTGATCTCCTTGGGGAATGCTTGATCCTCTATCCTGTAAAACAAAATTTTAGATAATTTTAATGCACAAAAATATGCCTTGTAGCATGAATTTATTTTACCATTACTTCTACAAAAAAGTAACTCCTGTCATAGAAAATGATAATTTATTATTACAGTAACTGCCTACCAAAGCAAATAAGTGCCTACACTGAATGATGAGATCAACAAAGGAAAAAAGTGCAAATCTTAATAATAAAATGAGATTTGCCACTGCATCCACACCAAAATACGTAGAGTATAATGTAAACTACAGCATTCACCCTACAAAATTCACTCAGCTGTGGATGAAAAGGGGGTAAATTTTCTCAGTTGAAAGGATTTTTTTAAACAACAGTGATACACACCCTCAAGGATGGATCCATAAGGTGTTGTCTTTTCAGATATCTTCCGACAAACTCAGACTTGGTTGTTGTTGTAAACTGTCCCAGATGATGTGTTCTTGAATCACCAGTGATAGTAGGTGGCCCAGTGTGTTTGTCAAATGGAGGTAAAATATCTCTTTTACCTAGCTGTTCTCCCAGAAACTTGCTTCGATAGTCTGAATGTGGCCAAAGCTCCTTTTCCTTATCTCCTGTGATGTTCAAATAATGGAATGTTGTGATTAGATGTATGTAATTAATTATCGTGTTGAAGCCCTGATTTTTTTTCAGGCTTCTTCTTTCCAATTGCTTAAATTGGAAAATTTACTGCGATGATCATTCTTCACTCTAATTAATTATCGTGGCATACAACAGTTGCCACCCAGAAACTATTGAGAGAAAAGGTACAAGCTTGAGAAAATGACTTTTCTGTTGAAAATTTTCCAAGTGTTTGGTAAAAATTCAAATGACATGACAAATTTCTGGGATTGTTTGGGGCAGACAATAAAATTATAAGCATTGACTGGTTAATAAAATTGCTGCCTTTGTATGCTATCAACCACTTATTAACTACATGTCCAGCTGTAACAACTTTGCGCCAACAGCTTGTACCCATTAATTCCCTCCCGAAGTTTTAAGGAGTGGTGAATTAAATTACGGGAACTTGCAGTACAATAAACATAATAATGGTATAATATTTGAGCAATGTAAAGTTTGGAAAAGATAACAGCCCTTGTTGGGGTCATTATGTTTAGGGACGTTTAACTTGCAGTGTGTAGTTTTACATTGTACAGTTGAACCTGTTTTGGTGTAGAGAATGTGGACACCTCTGTTTCAGATAGTTCTCGTGGTCTCAAAGACATCAAATATCATGCAACAGAATCGCTATAAGAGCTATGGTTTTTCTTTTGTGGCACAAAGGAGAGCTTTCTGAGGGCCACTGCTTAAGGGGGAAAAAACTGGGTGATGATGAACTTTCTCTGGAGATTACCCATGACCAAAAATAAATGTAAAGAAAACAAACCCCCAGCTATCTTGACAATCTCAAGAGATACCCTGTTTATTTTGAAGAATTTAGGAGATCAATGACAAATAAGACTCAGTGGCTAGACAAAGTGATGTCAATCTTCAGAGCAGTGGACCGTTGATGATGATGATGATGATGACTAGTAACAAACAGGGGATGGGGCCACATAAAAATCTGTTACCCTTTAACCTCATCCACTCTAAGCTGCAACCCCAAATGTTAATTATTGATTGCACTGCAAAAAGGTCATGGCTTTAGGTATGCAGGGTTGTCACTAAGATTTTGAGTTGCCAGATAAATACCAAAAAAGTAGGCAGGAAATCAAATAGCTAAGGGTTTCTTTTGGCTCTATTTTTCTTCTATTTTCCTTTGAAAGTAGCCAGGGGCCATGTTCGTAGTAGCTGGGGAAACTCCCTGACCCCGCCTCTCAATACCTGGCCAGGGTATAAATTCTTGAAGGGATACTTAAGGGAGGAGTTGTAAAGTACAGTGTATAGCATACTTGTTGTAGTCATGAGGAGGGGGATGACAGTGTGTTCAGGTATTATTGACCAAGGGTGAAGTTAAGATGGCTGGATATTGGCCAAGTTCTTTTTGTGTTTTTATTGACTGAGTTGAAAAGGAGACCAATATTCAGCCACCTTGACCAAATCAGCTTGGTTCAAATGTCAATAAAGGATTTATTATGAGGCCAAAAAAGAGAACTTTTCTTGTGGGACCAACGCAGGTAATCCCATCAGGCTGCCCTCTCCAGTAACCAATCAGAAAGCAGGATTCACTTGATTCAGCCATGTAATTATTATATTTATGAAACTCATGCCAATACACTTATTTGAAACTCAATACTCATTACTATGTCTACCAACACACCTTGTGGAATGTAACTTCGCATCCAGTCACTTTTTCCTGTTGCAGCAGGGTTCCTGGCCTCCTTAAGAGGTCGAACAGGATAATATTCCTTGTGTGTTGTCTGGAATGATTTCAACTGGCTGTCAGAATCCATCTTGAAATTTGTCTTTGTCAAGGCATAAGTGGAATTTTCTTGATCCCGCTCTCCAAGAGACTTCTCAACAAAGTGTCCCCGAGTCATGGAACACTTGTCATTGTAGCGACCATCTTTGTGCATGATTACTGCTGGAGAAGGAGAAGGAATGCGCTCTCTTTTTGTCAGAGGGAGGGGTGGGTAATCTTTCTTAAATGTGCTTTTGTACACATGTGGGTCTTTATGTGGTGCCCAGCGATCTTCGTGGCTGATTGTAAAATGAGAAGCTGCAAGGAACTCAGGACCTGTCTTCTGAGCAGGAATCTTATTTATCAATTCTGCCATGATTTGATGTTTTTGATTGAATCTAGCAACAACATATGAAAATTATTTTCACACAAATATACAACTCGTAACATCTAATCAACAAATTTATCCAGTATTACCACAAAATCTGAACCGAGATAAACTTTAATTTAATAAGCATAATCAAAGCTAATGAACCTTTTAGCTTATATTAATAAAATGGCTGCATTTAATAGCAATTTTCCTCTCCCAAATAAACCAGCTTCACTGCAGAATTCTTGGGCGCAAGAGGTTTCACAACTGCAGAAAAAAGAAATAAGTCTCCCTATGATCTAAGCTTTTAAAACAACTACAGACTAAAACCCGAAATGTCGTCTTGTCTTGCATACTCATGCATCATGCTTATTGACACTTCAGAGTCCTCATAACAAGTATGCGAAATATAATTTAATTTATCGTTTTAAGTTTAAACTTACCTTTCTAAAGAAAACAACAAAAAAGAAAGCTCTTAAACTCTTGTTCAGAACTTTTAAACTCAATACCCAGATCAAAATTCAAGCTGCAAATGTGTTGCAGTATTTTGTTCGAATTCTTTTATGCAAGTTGCTATAGCAACACTTGTTAGCCTCGAAATGATGTGACGATGGCGGGATAAAAAGGCGCGCGAATATTTGATCGCAGCGAAGCCATTTTAACTCCCTGCGATTAGATTGGGTCGTTTATGCTCATTGAAGGAAGGAAAATGGTACGAACGAAAGCTGATGGCGCTGCAAGAAAAGGTGGGTGTAATCGTCCAATTCAACAGACTGAAATCTAAGGCAATAGCGGAAATTTTTAAGCCCTCACTGCATCTTAACATGTCCACCAGCACTTGTTTCTATGCTGAGCCTATTTGAATCATTTACAAACGATGTAAAGCTGTTATAAAGCTTTTGATATAAGCTTAAGTATAGCACAAGTATAATCTATGTAGGCCTTCGAAGATGCATCTTTATACAAAGCCTACCAGCTTCTCATGGCGTCCTTTTTAAAGTCAAAAACGCGCTTTAAATACCTAGTATATAAAAACCTGCGATCATGCTCAAAAGCTGCAAAATTTATAAGAACTAAGTATTAAATCCTGTGGCAACCATCTAAGCTTATATGCATAAGCTTAACTTTGATAGGAATTATTTTCTTCTGGAAATTATCAAAATAAAAGGTCAAGCTCAAACCCTCATGAATATGCAATTGTATGTGTTGTTATTCAAAGGATGAAATGTTTATAAGGGACTGTATGTATGGAATCTGGGGTGTAATTTTCAACAGCAGTTAAAGGGTAGGGGGTGGGTACGTTATTCCGTGATGGCAAAAGGGAGGAATTTTTACTTTTGGGTTTTAATCCCAATGGATGTCTTTGATTTAAACACTCAAAAACTACTCCAAAAAACTAAAAATGTCTGCAAGAAATATTTTTCAAATTGTTTTATGAATAGGGTTATAGTGGCAGCTATTTTGAAACTCTATGGGTGCGTTCCTTTGGGATAATCAGATCACTTAGATCATGGTAGATCAAATGAACCGATGAATCCACTCTTGACAAGGATTCATCGGTTCATTTGATCAACTATGATCCAAGTGATCTGGGATCACTTATCCAGATCTGGATCATCCCAAAGGAGCGTGCCCTATAATTCAATTCAGGAATCACGGGGCTTCTAACATTAACCGTGAAGAATTCTCATGCCCAGTCAAGCCTTTGTAGTTTCTTCCACGTCTCTTGATTTGTAACATTACATTACCAGACATTCCTCATAACACTTATACCCCTTTAAAGATAGTTGTTATTGCTCCATATCCTCATGCTTGACACTGTTGTCTGTTATAGCTGTTGGTGCAAAGGCCCCTCGTAAACAAGTAGGTGGATCATCTTCAGCTGCGAGTAGCTTTGGCTCACCAACCAGTTCAGGTTCAAGCAGAAACAAGTATGCGGGAGGCAACCCTGTCAAATGGTGGCCTTCTCCTAAGTGGCAGAAAGGTACAAAAGCCAAAGATACTTCAGACAGGGAAAGGCGGCAACCTGTCTTGGGGGGGGGGGTGGGGGAAGAGGAAAAATCTCTTCTCTAAGAGACATAGATTTATAGGGAGAAGGCATAATTTCAGGATAAAGGGAGTGTTTCAGGGTGTTGAACTTGCAATCTGGAGGTTGTCCTCCAACACGTTCAACACTCCCTTTGAACACTAGCTGGGGCCAGTTGTTCGAGGGCTGATTAGTGCTTAAGGGGTTTCTTTTTTTGGTGTTCAAAAGCATTTTCTCGGATAATTTTCTCTGTTATCTTTAGAGTTTCCAATCATCAACTTGTAGACAAAAAGAATTAAAACTGAAATGCTTTTTAAACTTTCAAATCTGAATTCAAATCTCACACTAACCCTGGGTTATCTTAACCCAGCTTTGAACAACTCGGCCCTGGAGTTTAACTCCCTGGCCACTATTGTGCAGCATCCATGTAAACAGCCAAATGCTTCTGTATTTTTCATAGTTGAGCTACACTGTATGCAATGTAGCAATCTGTAAAGATGATTAGGTCATATGTGAGTGGTCTCTTAATTTTTTTGATAGTTAGCAGAGTGCAGCAAATGTGTAATTCAGGGAGTACCAAGCAGTCGTCTCAGGCATTCACTAGAATTATTGTGGCTTTCATGTTGCCTGCTGTGTCACATTTGCTACAATCTCAACTAATTTTGAATTTAAAAAATAACAAAAGAAAATACCATAGATTAACAATAATACATCTATTTTGCGTTAGTAGTCAATAAGTGTGATCATGTCTTACTGACTTTGCAGGTATTGGTGAATTCTTTCCCAAGGAAACCACTAGCAGTGAAGTTTCACCTGAAAAACCAGGCCCATCCGTAGCAAGTGCACATCCAGGTGTGTCTTCTGAGGAACAGGAAATTGAAGGGATTGAAAAACTTAGAGAGGACTGAAGAGTATGCACTGTTATGATACTGTAAAATTTCCCGTTCTACCATAGCCATTGATGAATTATTTATTACAACTCAATGTAACTTTTGGTGTCTAGTGTACAGCTCTCAGCACTCCCTGTTGTTGTCCTTAGTTAGGCTTAGCTAAACTATTTCGTCTAGAAGCACTGGTTTATGTAACCTTTAGTCTCAGATTAATTTAATACCTTATTGTTATTTTTCACCATGTTGCTTAAAGATAATTAACCCAAATTGGGAAGGACAGATGAAGTATACATTGCCTACATACATCTACTTCAATTATTATTAAAAGTTTGGATAATTTTTTAATGCTTACAATTAAAATAAAGTAAGAGTTTAATCTGTACTTTGCTTTATTAGTCTTAATTTGGTAATATATTGTTATTAAGAACAGCATTGCAATGGTTACAAAACAAATTGCACCTTTCACAATAGTGTTTATTTAATAAATAGAACATTACATGACCACTTGGAGATACAAAATTTACCTGCTTGTGCTGAAAAATATCATACATGCATTTGATTACTGCATACTTTCGTCAAAAATATTTTTCAACACACGCGCAGAAATTTTGTATCTCCATGTGGCCATGTAATATCCTCTATCTATGTTAAGAATAATATATTATTAGACCAACTGACAGAGAACTGAGGAGGATAGTGGTGTTCTTAGACGTATAACCTCTCTCCAAATTTATTTTTATTTTTGAAGCAAATGGTACCTCTGCAGAGAGACAACAAAGGCTACAAGACTTGGCCATTTTACTTCACCCCGAACCAAAAGCATATAAACTTGAAAAAGTTGCAGTCGACTCCTGATAACTTGAACCCTCACTAACTTGAACCAAACTCAATTTCCGCTGGATTTCCTTCATGCATTTTACACTGCAATTTTACCCTCAGCAACTTGACCCCTCAATAACTCAAAGTAATTTTTGTTTCTCTTCAGATCATTTCTATATAATTCTACCCGCCATAACTTGAACCATGTTTTAATTAAGCATGTGACAAGTCCAAAAAAAGAAAAAAAAGCAGTTTACTGAAGTTGGAAACGTTGGAACAACAAAACAAGAAAGATCAATCAACAAGAGAATTCTTCGTGTCAATTCTTTGTTTTAACTTTTGGTCACTCCAGTTCAAATTCAGTGTCCATCTCAGTATATCAATCAAGCTTTGTTGCTTAATTCCTTTTTCAAAAGTTTAATCTATATCTCTTGCTGCCCCCCTGAAGTGAAGTGTGCATTATACTTGCATTCCCTACCCGTCCATTAGTTTATTTTCTTATTCCCGGTTATTTGCTTCGAACTCCCGCTAACTTGCACTTTTTTGATTTTTCTAGAACATTTGAGTTATCCGGAGTAGACTGTATAATGCTTCTGTTCATACATAATGATAAAAGTGCACCTCCACAATAAAAAGGCACTCACACGGCCAAAGATTGACCTAATATATTGCTACTAATTTTGATGGGGCTCAAAAAAGTTTTTTGCAAAAATTAGTGTTCAACCTTGCAGATATCCCTACAAGATAGGAATCTACTTGAAAGTATTCACCCCATTCAGTCCAGTCATGGGTGCATTTTGTTATGCAATTCAAGATACCAGGGTGGTTCATTCTGGTGATCTCTTTAGTGTAAGGTTGTATTTTAACAGATCCTGCCTATTTTAAGTTTTGTTTTTTGATACAGCTATGCTTAGTGAACAGAGAGCCCTACTACCAAATCTGAAATGACGTATTTGTCATNCATTTTGTTATGCAATTCAAGATACCAGGGTGGTTCATTCTGGTGATCTCTTTAGTGTAAGGTTGTATTTTAACAGATCCTGCCTATTTTAAGTTTTGTTTTTTGATACAGCTATGCTTAGTGAACAGAGAGCCCTACTACCAAATCTGAAATGACGTATTTGTCATCATGTGAAAGAAAAAACATTACCGTTGAACCTTGTACGCAAATGTCAACACAGGTGGCTGTTGTGAAGAGAAATGGATGTATATCCACTTTGGTAATCACTTTGGTCAAGTAAACAAAACAAGGATAACAGTATCATAAAAGGCAGATTGCTCATTTGGGGCAATGAATGCGCTGATGAGTTTGTGAATGACACCATGGTGCAACCATTCAAATCACAGTTCTATGGGTGTAGTAGTTATTTCTTTCTAGCATGGAACTTAAACAACATCCATCCCTTGGGTGACTTGACTTCTTGAAACATCAAAAAAAAATTGCATCATACTGCTTACCAGGAATATGTTGAGGAAAAGCAACATAACGAAACAAAAATAAGTTCACAGACGAATTTTTTAATAATAATTAATCATTCTAAAGAATACAAAGATTTATGGGCTTTCTTTAAACATTTTAACGATAAGGAAAATATTTTTCCCCTAGGCTGTACAAACCAGATTAACTCTACGCAAATTGACACTAACAATAATGGGGGTGAATTTCTGTACATTCAATTTATTACAAATCAGTGGAAATAACAGACTAAAAATGAATGGCTAACTCGTGATGGGCGAGAATTGAAATTACCTTAATTGACTTCAGGGGAAAAATAAATCAATGTGACAGGAATTTCTGACAAAAAGGAATCAACAGCCAAAAGAGGAAAGCTGTATTCTGTTTGTAGTGACCATGAACTGTTTTTAGAATTTAATGTTATGCCAGATAAGACTTAACAAGAAAGAAAAATGAATACTATTGCAAGTGAAAACTTACAATCAAAGATAAACCACAGGACTTCACAGTAAACTCCTAACCTCCAGAATCAAACAGAACAATTATTAAGTTGATGATAAGGAGACAGACAGGAATTTTAGCTGAGGTTTACAAAAAAAGACTGGTCACACTGCAATGTTATTGTTCTGTCAAGTAACTACCAATTTCAGAAATTACTTGATTACAACTTACATGCACCAGTCTACAGCATCTAGTCTGCCTGCAAAAATAGCCGCATCTCCTGGCTCCTCACTCAAGGGATGTTTGCCAGGAGGGACGTTTGTGCCTCAGCAACAGAAATTCCATACTGATGATGTAAATCAATGTCTACATAATAAATCCTATAGTCATGGGGTTCCAAATGTAAATTTGTTCGATTTTCTGTTTCTCCTAGATGATTATGGTAAAGTTTTCAGTTCGGCTGCGAACAAGCTCCAGCCAAACTCAAATGCTTCTGCTAAAGAAGAATATATTCCATGAATATTGACTGTTATAAAGTAAATTTATTGCGTTTACATTTGACCTTTGTGACCGTTTATCTTTTGCACGTCGTTAGTACACAATAGCTAAAACAATACAACTACTCTGCTGACCAATCAGAGCTCATGACCAGATTCTAGACAGATTTAATGTCATCAGTAAGGAATTTCTCTCACTGAGGTACAGACATCCCTCCTCGTGTCCCTAGTGGCGAGGAGCAAGGAGAGATGGCTGTTTTCACAGGCTAACATCTACAAAGCAAAACAGAAACAAGCTTTACATCGCAAATTTATTTTGCAAGCAGTTAAGGGATCTGGGCATGTTAATATTAACAAACATAATTCATGTATTTCAGGGTGTTGCAAAATAATTATTGTCAATAAATATTTCTAGAACCAAGCTTATGGTTAAATCTTTAGAAAGTCTCACTCTAAGTTTGCAAATCTTACATAGCAGTAATTACCTTTTTAACAAATTGGTGACAGGGGTAGAAATGTCAATAATAATGATCTGAAACTTCAAATGCATGTGAAGGAAAGACAAGAAATAATATTCAATCTGTCTCCTCACTACTGCTATCATCTTTGAAATTTCAAATGATCATGCTTCCTTTTAAAATGAAAACATTGACACATTGCTCCCATTCAGTTCTGCCAACAGACAGTTATCATACAACATAAATTTATATTAAAACATGGCAAAAGTTACCCTTTGTCTCAACATCACATTCATGGGAAATATCCATCCGAAAAATAACAGTGAAAATGAAAGACCAGGATCTGGGTTAAAAATAATGGCTTTCAGAGAGCTTGAAGTGTAAATCATTATTTTGAAAACTAAACTTTGTATCAAAAGTTTGAGGTCACTAAACTACTTAAGTCTTCTAGCATTTATCCTATCACCAGGAACCCTTATGAGTTTCTAGTGTCACTAAATAAAATCCACTTTGTTAAAAATTTTCTTCATTATTTTCTGAACTACTGGGAGACATCCTTCATAATTTGTGCAAAGCAAAGACGTTGTCACAGAAAGATTTGAACCAAATGTTTGCTTCTACACTTTTAAACTCCATTTTCTTTCATTATAAAACTGACCCAACTTTCTACAAAAAGGTTCTAATGAGTTAAAGCTTTTCTATGCTACAAAGTTTTCATTGATGGCTATGTTTTAATGAAAAAGTCATTTGTGCCTCACAACCGGCTGCTTCTTCTTCTTTTTCCTTTTGAAAAAACAACAGCATCTGTAAAATAAAAGGAAGTTTAGTGGTTACGAAGATCTTTTAATATTGGCTCTTGTCTCAGGTTTCATGATAAAAAAATTCTAAATTAGTTAAGAGCTACAAAAAAACCCTGCTGTTTCATAGAATGTTACTGAATGTGACATTTATCATAACAAAAACATTTCAGGGCTGTTTTTAGTGGCTAAAGGAAGGAGCTTTGCCTCGCTCTTGGAAGTGTAGATGTATTGCCCATGCCAGCTAGTCTGGAAGAAACATGATACATCAATAAAAATTAATGTCACACAATCAAAATGATGTACTGATCCATCTTGCACTGTTACCACACTGGCTCATATGTTTATCAATTTGGTAGATAATATTTCCGTGTTTGTGCATAAAATTTTTCCTGTGAATAGACAATGAAGATGTCATCAGACCCACCCCACTAAATAAACTTAAATGGCTACAAAATGTAGTGACACATACTTTGTTTCCTCAACAACTTCCACTTCAGGTTGCTGTTGTGCGTGCACAGGACTACCAGCCTTGCTTTCTAGACGATTCTCTTCAGTTGGGAGAAGGTCACCATTTGTTGAGCTAACAACTTGAACAGAGCCCCCTAATCTGTCTGCAGTTGGTGGAGCCAGCCCAGCCGTCCTGTGAGCCTGCGAGTTATCAGCCCAAGCCCCTTTTCTGTCTTGAGCAGACTAAACAAAGATGAATCAAACTGATCAACACTTGATATATCTTTCAATTGAATTTTGCATATGCTGTAGT